CCATAATAGATATAAAAATGTAGAGGTTGGACAGGCTATATCTCCCACAGTCCTAAATCTTTAATCTAATGTAATGATCTCTCTTTGTCTTGATCAATTGCAAGGAGAAGCACTAACCAGTATCATCAACAAACGTAGGTACAGTCATAGTATAGAGTGGCTCTATTAGTAGAGAATGGGCCCATGAATCAGATTTAAAGAGTATCCTTCAAAAATTAAGGGATGAAATAGCTATTTGTGTATTAAGTTTAAGTGTTATTTAATTTTACAAACAAAAAATCAAATTAAAAAAAAATAATAACTGGTGAGGATTGAACTCACGACCATCAGGTTCAAAGACAAACGCGCTAGGCTCTACAACAACAAGACATGTTAAATATATGTGTTAAAAACAGGGTAATTTATTTTTAATATTTTAATTATTATTTAAATATTAAGCAAAATGAGTTTGACTATTAAATGTTCAACTAAAAGATTCAGATTAGTCTACATTTGCTTTTAAAATACCGATTAGTTTTCATAATAACAACCTTTCTAATGAAAATAGGTGTGTGCAAAAAGTAACTTTCCGCCTATATGGAAAACGTCAACTTTCCAGTTATATTTGAATGTGCAAAAGTCTACTTTGGATAGTTATCGTAAAAAAAAAAATATTTTTGAAGGCAATTTATTGATATTTATATTTAAAATGGAACAATTTTAATGGTCCAGGGAAGTTAGAAAAAATAGCGGAAATTTTTAGGGTCAGCAGATATCGAGATGCGGTTTTCTGCATTGTGTTCAAGAAGGTCCCAGGAAAATGCATTTTCCAATTGCATCATTACTTGCACCATTATAGGAACGACTGGAAACTCAGAAAAATCGCTCGGAAATCGATACACTGGGGTTTTGGAGGCTGCCGAACTCGATTCTGGCATTATAATTACCCGGGGGTGAACGGGGGTGGCTCTGTGGGGGTGCGCGGGGGGTGATTTGGGGATAAATGGCAGCGTGCATGAAAATCGCTCCAAACTCGTTACTCGGGGGGTTTTCGAGGATACCGAATTCAATTCTGGCATTGAAATTACTTGGGGGCGGCTTTGCGGGGGTATCCAAGGGGTCATTCTGGGGGAAATTGCATAGTCCATGGGAAGCGGTCTAAACTCGTTACTCGGGGGTTTTCGGAAAGTTTCCAGTCGTTCCTATAATGGTGCAAGTAATGATGCAATTGGAAAATGCATTTTCCGGCTCAGAAGGCATTTTTCAAAAAATGGCTAAACCAGAAGATATAGACATTTTTCCTGGGATCTTCCTGAACACAATGCAGAAAAACGCATCTCGATATCTGCTGTCCCTAAAAATTTCCGCTATTCCGGTAGATTATGATCCTGGACTATAAATTTCTGTAGTTCCATGATTTCGATTTCGAATAATACTTACACAATGAAAAGTGTCAATTTACATGGCCCAGTTCGATTTAAATGAAAACTTATATAGCTAAAATTAATATAAACTCTGTCTCTAACTAGTAAATAATGTTTCTGTTATTTTTGTATTTAATGCTTATATTATTTATTTTATTAGTTATGTTTATAAATCTATTCCCATCCATTATTTGTCATAGCGTATACTAAATAAATAAATGTTAGATAAGAAATATATTGAATTTTCCGAACCTGAAGCCGTCCCATATTTATTCATCCCCTATTTTGATGAATTCCACCTTTCGCTCGATTCAGTTTTCAAAATCCATCCCTATTGACGGAATACATAAAGAAAGGAAGGTAGACAGCACCCAGACTTGAAGTATTCAAGCAAATCTTCAAAAAAATGTTAAAGATTATCGACGATATGAGGTAAAAACGAACATAGGGTAGTAGGTATTTCTATTTTCTATTATTGCATTGTTATCTCTCCATTCTTTTTAGAGTTATAAAAGTTTTTTTTTATCTGTACACATGATGGATTGGTTTTTACTTTTTAATCGTTTTTCGCTTCTTTTTCGAGGATAAGGGGTTTAAATATGTTCGAGTGTATGTGTGTGAGAATTTTTTAATGATTTCAAGCGAGCAAAATTTTTGATTGATTTTCGAATTCAAAAAAACGATATTTAAGGAAAAAATGTCGGTATCGGGTTCGGTAAATTGATGATGTTTTGCAAAAAGAGGTGATGTATCGATGTTTTAAATTTTTTCTGCAAACTTTGGGCTACGAAAGGTCAGAATCATTATACAAAGGTGAATTATAAAGGAATGAATTCATTATTTATTAAATCGGTACCTGTGGAGGAAAATCCCGAAACTCGTCGATTTTTATATTTAATGCTGCCATTGCTATAATAATAACGGCAAAATAACACATTCAAAGATATCAGCTGCTATAAAGAAGTTATATAAGGATGATCCTGACGTCAGTTTTCAGTTTTTATAATAGACGTTACATGTTAATGTTATCAGTTGAACAGTTGTTGTAAAAGTTGAGTTCAAATAAATTGCGATACCAAAAACCTGTGTAACAATATTTTCGTTTTAAATATACCTATGTAAATTTATTAACAACATTTAAATATATTATGATTTTGTAGTCTTTTTTTTTTATTTTAACTGCTGTCAAAAGTAAATCTCTCTTGTTGATTTTAATTAAATGGCTTTTTTTTAATACTTTCATTTAAGGTTGGTAAACCTTTTTCTCTAAAATTGTTCATTTTTTAATTTGTTTCTAGACAACCTTTTTGATATACAAGAAAAATTTCCAAAAATATTTTAGTAAATTGCTGTAATCATTTAATTTGAGTTCATAAATAACATGTCTTCATGTAGGTACCTCTTCCATTTAGTAGGACATTTCTGCAACTACACGCCACTGATTTTTGAAGATACAAATGACTGTGTTGCTTAGTTCTTGTACCATTGCTTATATAGAAGAAAAAGAAGCGTGGTCATGTCATTAGAATTTATTTCAAACAAATTAACTGATTTACTATGCCATTAACCATAAACTAAACGGATATCTACTAAAAAAAAATCTAATTGTAAATTTAAATACGCTTAATATTCAATTGACCGGCTCTACGAAAAAATAGATCGTTATCGAATTCCTTATAATTTTTTCATATACATTATAGACGTATATAAATACATAAACAAGAAGGTGCTAACCTCAATATCTTTAAATAATATAAAATTTGATTAAAATGCTACACAAACGCCATGATTCTATAAAGAAGGAAGCAGTTAATAGTGTACTTTGAATTTTTTATTTCTATTATTGTCAAGTGAAGGTACAAGGTGGCCCGCGAATTTTTAGAAAATTGATTAAATCTAAAACAGGGTATTGTGTGGCGCCAAGGTGACGGATATATTCAGAAATAATGTCACGAGTGCTGTCAGTTATTCTGAATCTACTGACAACAACAGTGGTATTCGAGAAGATTAGATAACGAATAAAATAAATTACATGTTTTTATTGATTTCTAAATTGCTGATAGAACCAAAAAGTTCCATTGCTCTAGCTTTTGATTAAGTCAAAATTGAAACTTATCTGACATTTGTTAATGTCAATAAACCTGTTAAGTTTATTTTAGGTTTGCTACTAACAAATTATATCAACTATACAGGGTGTTAAAAAAAAGTGTCACAAAATAAAACGGGGGGTAGTATGGGCCAAAATATGCAGAAAAGTCTTAATAAACATATGTCCGCAAATGAATGGTTTCAGAGATACGGAGTGTTTCGTGTTTTGTATCATTTTTTGATTATCTTTTTTCATTCTCAAAAACTTGCTTTTCTTATCGGAGTCTACCGATGTTTTTTCATAGATACTATTTGCAGTTATTATTTTGTTGTGGGTGAATAATTTTATAAATTTTCGTTATGCTTGTTTACACTAATATTGATATAGCTGACATGCATTTTATGTACGGTCGTGCAAATGGCAATGCATTGAAATGGAGGGAGGGCACTTTGAACATCTCATTTAACTCTATGTTGTTATTGATTGTTTATAAATATCATTGTTTTTTTATAATAATAAAAAATTGTTATAAACACAAAATGGTCCGTATCTCCGAAACCGTTAATTTGCGGTCATATATTTATTAAGACTTTTCTGCTTATTTTGGGTTATACTATTCACCATTTCATTTTGTGACACTTTTTTTTAACACCCTGTATACTAACTAAAAAATGAATAACAAATTTTTACAAATTTTACAGATGTTGACACGTCCGTTACGGTACGGGATAAATATATCCCGTAGAGGGCCGACTAGAGGGGGGGGGGGGTAGCTGGGACTCAAATGGGGGCCCGTAAGCGCTGTACAAAGGGGGTCCGACAGCGGACTTGAGGACCTTTTTTTTAAAGAAAAATTCAAGTAGAGGATTTGTTATTTCATTTTTTATAAAATTGTCACTGGGCCCTTCTGGAGAATTGTCCTGGGGCCCGGTCTGGCTCTCGGCGGCCCTGATCCCATATAGAGTTTATCTGGAGGACACCAACTAATATACAAATTTCACCCCCCTGTACGGAATCTGTAGTTTCCTTATTTTTTAATATTTTTTTATGAAACTTATACAGGTTGGACGATAGTTAATTGTACCAAACATTTTAACAATAATCTAGTAGGGGGAATATAAGGCATATATTAAGGATAATATTATTAGAGATAATATTGAGGATTTTGAAGGATATTATTAAGGATTTTGCAGTAGTCGCAGAAAAATATACATCTCGCTTTTAATTGAAGGGGTTAGAATAGAAAGGGTATAAGTGCAATTTTTTTAAATTAGGAGATAAGTGCGTTTTGTGAAAGAGAGACTGCGATGTATTGGAATAAAAAGGATTTAAGTAATTTTCAATACTCCTAGCGACATCTGTTATCCAGTGGAAAAATCAAGTGAGAAACGTGCATATTTGTTTAGAATAAGAAGGGTACAAAACCAGATTGTTGTACGTACTCCGACTGAAGGTTGTTTTGCAAAAGATTTTGTTTGTTTCGTTCACCGATCTTTGGCTAATTAGTTATGGAAAGTGATGAAGGTAAGTTCCCATGTCATATGATAATAAATATCTATTATAATTTGTAATTACCAAAAATATGATCACTGCAATGTTTAAAAAGATAAAGTAAGGTTATGACAATATACGGTTATTTTTGTTACTTTTCTGTATCAATAAATTATTGTATTGTTTACGCTAAACACTTGAAATTAAACTTGTTATTAGAATAACTCATTGTACCGCCAATTTATTGAACTTATTTCTATAGTTGCAATGATTTGCTCGACTTTTAAAGCTTCTATTATCTTACTTTCAGACCCATATGCGACTGATGAAGATGTAGAATACACTCCCTCGGATACTTTGTCAATTTCAGACACTGAAGAAGATGAAAATAGTAATGGCAGTGTTTCCAGCAGCACCCATTCAGATACACGCGATGATGTCCATGTTACGCCAGTCAAAGCTAGACAAAGACAGAAACGTCCATCTGAATGGAAGATTAACCAACGGAAACGCCTTAGAACTCAAGGTAGAGTATGTATCTAATAACAAGGTACGTCAAAGCAAAATATTGCAACCATATCAACATAGCTGTCGATATAAATGTAACATGAACATAAATGAAGAACAGAGACAAGAACTTATTACAGCCTACTACAATCTACCTTCTTATGACCTTCAGACTGCATTTTTATCGTCAGGCATTAAAAAAGTGAATGTCAGTAGAAAAAAAAAACATACAGCAATATAGAACGAAAATTCAGCCCCAATATTTTTTGCTAAACAAGCGTGTTTTCAAACAATTTTTCAATATCTTAAATAAAAGATTTACTACTGTTTGCTCCAAGACAAATCACCTTGGTGTAACACAACCTGATAAAAGAGGGAAAGGACAAACTCATAGAAGAAAATTTCCGAGATACCGAAGTCACTATTCCCGGAAAGAAAATGCTCAAACGAAGTACCTGTCGCCTGATTTAAATATAAAGACCTACATAAAGCTACCTGCGATGAAGAGAACTAAATACCCGTGAAGATATCGTATTAACGGCACATATTTTGTACTGAATTCAACCTACGATTTCATCGACCACATTGAGACACTTGTTCCCGTTGTGACTCTTATCAAAATATTATAAAATACTCAACAGATGAACCTAAAGTCGCAAAGAGCAAAGTTCAACTAGCAGTCCATCAAAGACGAGCTGAAAAAGCAGTGACTGTGAAGAAAAACGACATCGAAAAGCATAGATTTTCGGGAGACACAGTGGTTGTATGCTTTGATCTTCAACAGTTTTTGCCAATGCCACTTTTAACAACTTCGAAAGTGTTTTATTTAAGACAGTTATGGACATATAATTTTTGCATTTACGATTTAATAAACAATGTAGCTAATATGTATGTTTGGTCTGAGGACGTAGCTTCAAGGGGTTCTCAGGAAATTGGATCCTGCTCAAGTCCCTTCCACCTAATGAAAAAGAATGATCGCCTATAGCGATTCGTGCGGGGGTCAAATCAAGAACAAGAACATAAGCAAACTTTTTATGTTTTTGGTGAAAGCCACACAACTTGAAGAAATTGACCATACATTTTTAGAACCCGGGCATACATATATGGAGTGCGACAGGTCCTTTGGACTGATAGAAAAATGTAAAAGGAAATTTCCGCAAGTATTTGTACCACAGGACTGGAGTAATGTAATAAGATCAGCTTCCAAACGTTTTAAAGTACATGATATGACCTAGGAACATTTTTATTCATTTCCTCATCTTAATTACATCATAAGCGACTCCAAGAAGGACGCAGAGAACAAAAAAATGAACTTTAGGCAGATTTCTCATTTTAAATATACAAAATACTCGGAAAATATTCTTTTCAGTTTAAGCTCACGTTAGATGATGATTTCCCCTTTTTGACATGCCACTCTCCTTTTTTGGGTAATGATCGACCCACCGATTTGTAGAAAATATTCTGCTCCATGTTAACCGAAAATCTGTCTCTATTTCGGTAGAGAAAAAGGAAAAATTTACAGACATTGTTAGAGTTTGTACCACTAGTATATCACAGCTTCTATAAAAATCTTAAAAAAAGGAAGACAAAATTATAGCACCAAGGGCAAGAAAACGAAAAATAAAACTTCCAAAACTACTGTTTTTAGTGCGTCGACGTCAAAAAAGACACAAAATATTGTTTTAAGTGACTTTGATTCCGAATCTGATCAAGACGTGGATGATATGCTTCTGACCTCTGATTCCGATAGTAATGAATAAAAATCTTATTATTGTATCTTTTCCCACTTTGTGAATAAAGTTTGCTTTTTAAACCAGCATTTACTTTATTTTTTACTTTACAAGGCAAATTTTTTGGAATAAGAAGTCCTTTTTTTCAAAAATTAGATGTGGTTTTAAACACAAACTTTAGAACTAAAATCCAACTATTTTTTAATTAAAATGATTCAAAACATTACTACAAAAAATTACTGATTTTTTTATAGTAACATAACTTTAACTTCAAATATCTCCAAACAATGAAAATGTTACTTATACCCTTTTTATTCTAACCCCTTCAATTGTAAATTTTTTATTTAAGCTTGTGACATCCTGTACACTTATGAACTCGTGGTCGTTAGTTTCCGTCTTTCGATTGTCAATTATTACGGCAACGCCAACTTTACTATGCATTCCGAAGCGCGAATATATTCGAAAATCGAGATTCATTTGTTTACCGAGCGCGTGGCGTTTGTCACAGCTAAAATGTGATTATTTCAAAATGTACAGTTGCACGGAGACCTCGATTGGCTTCTGTGAAAAAGGGTGCAACTAATGGTTCGCTTCCATAGACGTTGTTTGTAAAGGGGTTCAAGGAGACTCCTACGACGAGCATGATCTAAGAGTTCTTGATAAAATGCTTACAATATTTTGCAGGTTACATGTTTACCCCTCCAATTGTTGTCATTTTTAATTAATGAAAAGTGAATTAAGAAATATCGATGGAGATTCGAAAAACTGAAATTTAACACTTGTCAACGAATGAAAGCTATTAGAAATTTGTTCTAGTATAATCATGTAGATTATTGTCTATCTACACTATTTCACAGTATGATTACTCTCAATAGATTTTGAGTTACTAATTCGTTACTTTATAAAGGGAGGTCCTTCTGCGTTGAGTTTTGTCGTAAGAAGTGGATTCTTCAAGTATAGTTGCTGTTGGACTGACGCTTCTTTTTTCAATCTTGGAAAGTTACCAGTTAAACTCTTTACGAGGAAGGTATGATTTTCCTCTCTTCTTCGATTGTATGCCATGAGGCGTTTACTAGTGTCCTTCTGGAAACGTTGTTTTATATTTTTTTATGTTATTTTTACTGGCACACCCCAGAGCTGTATGCCGTAAGTCCATACTGGCTTCAGTATTTGTTTATATATTAAAATTTTATTTTCTATTAAAAAAAAGTTTTAATATTCTATTCATTAATCAATATAATTTTCTATATTTAATACCTAACTCTTGTTTTTTCTTCTTGTGTTATTGCACTTTAATTTTATATTTAGGTTCATGCCTAAATACGAGCCTCTTCCCATTTCAGTTGGCCCACCTATTAATATTTTCTTTATATAACGACAATAAGAAAGTATTAAAGATAACATGCTTTTTTAAATCAAAAATTAATTAACAATGCATTAATTTAGAATTATATTAGAACTAGAACTAGAAAACATAATTTTTTTTATTTATTTTTAAATTTATTAACACATGGAGCATTATTGCATTATTTCAACTTGAATTCAATGCGTTAGAAAATAAACCAAAATTGAAGGTAGCTTTGAAAAAATAACAAACAATAATGCAAATAACTGTCACAAGACAATTTAACCTCTTTTAAGCTAATTCTGTCTAATAAAATGGGTAGAGGAAAAATCAGTGACGAAAAAATACGTTTTCTTGTTATAAAACATTGCAATTCTGGAAAATCGAACTTGGAAATTGCAAATATATTAGATTTATCACGATATAGTGTAAGAAATATAGTTAGAAGATACAAAACTACTGGTTCAATCAGCCCAAAGCCCCGTCATGTTAGAAAAAGCAAGATTACAAATAATGCCGATAGACGAGCATTGAGAAGAATTACTGAAACTAACCGTCGTGCTAATTACCTTCAATTAAGTGCTCAGTGGAGTGATGCTGTTGGAAGACTAATTTCGAGATCTTCATGTCATAGAGAAGCTCGCAAATTGGGATTTGGGACCTACAAAGTAAGTTTATAATAATAAAAACAATAAAAAACATGGATTGAAGACACTAAAACAATCAAATATGTTTGCTTAAAATTGATAATTTTGTTACAGGTTAAAGAAAAACCACTACTAACTGCGAAACAGAAAAAAAATCGATTAAGATGGTGAAAAGAACATATGAGTTGGACTTCTCATCAATGGGATGCAGTACAATGGAGTGACGAGGCCCGATTCGAAGTTTGTGTTGGAGATAGCAGAAGTCGAGTTATTCGCAAAAAACATAAAGCGTTCCATCCAGACTGTCTCAAAAGAAAAGTAAAATTTCCCGCATCGGTCATGGTCTGGGGCAGCATGTCATCTAAAGGAATAGGGAAATTGCATTTTATTGAAGGAATTGTAAATACAAATAAATATTTGGACATTTTGGAGGAATCACTTTTACCGACTATGGAATTATATTTGACATCAGGGAAAGATTTTGTATTTCAACAGGATGGAGCAGGGTGTCACACGTCAAAAAAAGCTCTAAAATGGATGGAAGACTTCGGTGTTCCACTTTTGGAATGGGTTTCTAGTAGTCCTGATTTATCACCAATAGAAACATTGTGGCATGAGATGAAAAAGGTACTTCGAAAACATCCTGCAAGAACAATACCTGAACTTAAACATAAACTTCAATTTTGCCAAGGCTTAGTTAATTCCATGCCGCAAAGAATTTCAGCTGTAATAAAAAATAAAGGTGACGTTACTCAATGATAAACTTTAAAATTGATTAACGTTTGATTCCAACTAATTGTTTATTTTTTTTTTAATTTTATATTAAATAAATATTTTAATGTTTTCTACATATTTTTTATGATTAAACGATATTAAATATATTGTTCAATGAATAAAAATTGGAAAGTTCATGCAATATTTATATTTTTAATCTTTAAATACGAATTTTCTAAATTTCAATAGGTGGGCCAACTGAAATGGGAAGGGGCTCGTATTTCACCGAATTATAATAGATTATTCTAGTATTATTTTTAATATCACTATTAGGTATTCTACTGATCTTTTATTAGTAAAGTTAACCTGAACTGTTTTAGTTTCATTAAGCTTCACATGTCATATTTTGGTCCACTCGTTCAAATCGATAGTTGGCTGAAATATAGCAATGTAAGTGCAATGCAAATTAATAAAAAAAGTCGTCATCGTGATCATCATCACCACCATTATAATTAAGTTCTAAAATTTTAATACATGTTAATTTCCCCTTTCTAAGGTTAAATATTTGTTAACCATCCTCAAATCTAAAGCATCGTCAGTATTGAAAGCACTTTGGGCACCTTATAAATAAAGCGCTGTTGCCAGATGGTAACAAAATTAAAAGAATCACTTTTTAATTAATATACCAACCTAAACCAATCTGTAATACAAAACAAGATAGAAACACTATTTTTACTGCACATCGCTAATTTATCTATGTCAGGACGTGAATCAGCGATAATCGCTAATAAAATCTCCATATTCCTTATCCACTTTAAACAAACATAAATTTTTTCCGTTCAATTTTATTTGTTAAGTCGTATTGGCAGTAGATTAAATACATCTCTGTGAACGTCGTAAAACTCGAAATGCCCATAAACTTCCACTACGGGCTTTTTTGAATAACCCATGTATATATTAAAGAACCCTTCGTAAAAAAAGCAAGAAAATCGTACCTGAGCAAATAGCGGACATAAATCAATGGTCGTGGTCGTTTGGGTAATTGAAACTAAAATAAATATCCTTCGAATAAATCGTATATTTTACTTTATATGGCATTTTTTAAATTAGAATTTGGTACATTCTCCAATATAAATTGTACCCCCTATTTTACATTAACATTATTAAACTATTTAAATAAAATCATATATCTGTGAGTATATGATAGTTATATTTTAATTTTTCCATCAAAATCTCCTTTTTAACGTTTTCTGTAATAAAATTATTCTCCTGGATCCACTATCATGATAAAATCCCTGCTGCCCTAATATATTTTGCTTTTGATTTCTCTTGTCCATTCTCTCTTAATTGACTTAAGTTCCCCAAACTGTACAATTAATAATGTAAACTGTAACTTAAGTAAACTTAAGAAGCTTAAAACTAAAGAGTTCAATGGTATATTCTCCTTTCTGTTCCGATGAACTAAACACCGCACATGCGCACTATGCTCTACTTTTACATAATTTCACATCACTAATTCAAATGGTTTGGTCCTTCTCTTTCATTACCTTTGAACTCCTTTACGAGAATCAGGAGAATACATTCAATTTTGCATCCGAGATCTTTTGACACATTGAAAATTTTCCTACAAGCACTCCCTACCATAATCCCTATTTCCCTCATATACTTCCATAGATATATAACCAAGACAGATAGGATTATTTACAAAATTTTTGAAGAATGAACGGTGGTGTCCGCGGTAGAAACCCAATAATCGGATTGAACATTGATGCCAAGTTTACGTGCTTTTAACTATAAATATATATATAACCAATACAGATTACACAATTTCTGAAGTCAACGAGGATGATCCTCGACAGAAATGCAATATTTGGATAAAATTAAAATATTGATGCCAAGTTTGCGATGTTTTTAACTGTAGTAATGTTATTGCGAATGCTTGAATTACTGTTAGGTCTTTAAATTGTCAAAAAAAAAATAACGTCTGACAACAGCGGAAGTAGAGTAGACCGCAATTGTGGAGGGTCGTATATTGTTTCATTCATAAAAATTCCTTCGATACAGTACTAGTCCAGGAGCCAGTGAATTTTTTTCGTACTTGTTTTCCCGGTCCGTGTATATTTAAATAATCTATTCCCGGTGAACTGTATATTTAAAATGGAACGCCAATCTATTAACAAAAGTAAGCCAGATTGAACTCGCGCATTACGTCACATCAATACAAGTGAGATTGTTTACAAAGTGCCTTTGCAGGCCCATTTTGCCCATTTCATGTATTTGTTTTTAAATCATGTTAAATTACTATTTTTGAAACTCAACAAGAA